TCACACTCTGACATCTGAGATACACCAGCTCTGACCTCTTCCTTTTCCTCTTTATTCTTCTATAAGCTTAAAGTATTCAATAGGCCTCCTTCTCCGGTTTGGTGGTAATTTGGTGGAACAGAAATCCTTATTGGTTCCCAACACAAGTAATATCACCTGAGCAATGGCCCAGCCCCTGAGCTCAGTGTTCGCGTACAGAACCCAAAGTACATCAATTTCTGTCCCTCATAAAGTCTGTCTATAATGATCACCTTGAACCGTACAGACTGTAAAAGACTCCACTCTACTCATTTCCAAACCCAGATCCTACAGTCCCCGGACCTAAAAAAGAGGGGGCATTGAGAACTGCTATGCGCACTATGGACCATAATAAAACTGCACCCTTCATTATCCCTGATATTTCTTCCACAATGTTCCAACACAGACAGTATAGCACATCATTACATACTGTGTTAACCTTTGATGGTTTTGTGCATGAGCAAGTTGTTTCTGCAGTTAGATGATAAGCAACGTGAAGGCAGGGATCAGACTTCTAAAGAAGGGTAAACCTCCCAGGGTCACTGTATTCACCCCTGTATTTTCCACAGAGCTGTGCACACAGCAGGGGCTCAAATAATACCTCTATAATTGCCTGCCTACACGTGGTTTTCTAGCCTGTAGAAACCAGTGTGTAGAAACAAAGGTGCATGGACCAAGCTTCTGTGGTTCTGAGCAGGATCTGCAGCACGCAGCATTCCCCTGGCCTCCTACCACCTCCCCTGCCTTAAAGGCAACCAACCTCCTATTCCCAGGCCTGCAGGGACGCTTCTGTTATGGTTGAGTCAGCAGAGAAAGGGCTCTATAACCACTCACAACCCCTCACAGCCCAATACTCCTTCAACACACGATTTTCCTAGGCGGGTAGAACTAGCCCAAGACCGTACAGCTGCATCACTGCCAGCCCAGACCCCAGATTTCCTGCCGCCTGACCCAGCACCGTTTCCTTGACACACCCTCCGCATTGCAAAGGGACGACCTCTTTCAGCAGTCTTGGAAGACTGAAAACTCTCAAGATCTAAAGTGGTGTTTCTCCAAATACAAAAAGTAAATATTATATGACGCGGGGGGGTTGGGGGGTAGGGAGGGACGGAGTACGAGAGCTAGGCAAGAGACCTTATCCTTCCCTCTTTCAAAATGCAAGCTGCTGCATCAAGCACCTGCTTCCCTCGAGAGAGCCCCTGCTGGGGGCCAGGGTGGGCTGCGCTGAGTTGGGGGAGACGCAGAAAGCGGTAGGGTCCCGCACACACATCCCGTGCTTACCACGATCACCACTGTGGGAGTGGGGCCCTTAACCTCCCGCTGTACGATGCCAAATCGCTGGCTGTACATTTTCGAGTCCCCTCGGGTTCGGGGCGACGCCCGCCGCGGTTCCCCAACCACAGCGACCTGAGGGACCAGATTCCGCGACGCAGAGGTCCGGTTGCCATGGTGCGCCTCGCGGGGATCAGGGCAGGTGAGGGGGCCGGAAGTTGGTCCCGTCACCATGGTGACCATAGACTCCAGCACTCACGACTTCCTCTGGGAGTGGAAAAGCTGAGTCTGCGCAGTCCTCTCCCCGCCCTCCGCCAGGCCTCCCGCCGACCTCACTCCCTTCTTCCAGGGTTCATCAAATAGCAGAAAAAGAGCCTCCTTAACCCGAAGTTTAGTCGAAGATCTAACTACATTCCAATTGACTTTTCTATTTATATCTTGTAATCGGTCTAAAAGCATGAGAAAGGTTAGTGGGCATTTTGTTGGTAGGCTAAAATTTGAGGCCATCTCTAAGTTAATCTTCATGACATAAATCATCACAAGACAACCTTATTCGCGTAGTTCTTTACAGGAATTTACAAGTTATTTTCACACATAAAACCTCTGAGCCTCACAAATATCTTACAAGATTGATGGAACAGCGGGTATTATCCTCATTTTACAACTAAGCAATTAAAGCTGAGAGAGCCTGTTTTGTCAGCCAACTCAACCAGTAATGACAAATTTGTTAATAAAATCAGGAAACCGGGGCTTAGACTTGAGGTACCCTAGGATGGGGGGCAATCAGATGGGCTGGTACGGCAGTGACACGACCTGGCTGGGCACAATAAAAACTAGGGCCAGGGGTAGGATGTGGATTAGAATTGCAGGTGATCGGGCTCTGAGATTCCGGATCCCAGGCAGGAAAACAACACAGGTCAGGAAACCTAGAAGGGGCCCTCAGCACAGGTGGAGACCACAGCTGTACTTCTGGTCAAGAGCAAGGTGGTAGTTAATACCTACAAGCCAAATAACACTTTGGTACTCTTTCTATAGTGGGGATGAACATAGAACCATCACTACAACACACAAAAAAATCAGCACCTAGTCGGTCACTGACGTGTAATAACCAAAGTACAAATAGTACTGTGCATCCCATCTTAAGACCGCAATTTACGGTAAATTAGCATTGCTTAATCATTTGTAATGCGCCCACTTCGGATTTTGTAGGCAGTAATGTTTCTAGGTTTGGACTCCATTTCCTGAATTGCTGGTTCAGGCTTTCAGCCACAAAACAGTGTCTCTCTTCTCTTTCAAACTTTCTTTTAATAATTCTCTCATTTTGTCTTTTATGTCCTATAAAGCTTCTTCCTTCAACTGCAGTTCGGAAAAATACTCATTTTCATTTACTGCTAAGAGTTTACGTAGCCTGAAACAAACAAAAAAGAAAGAAATTAGATGGTTGTCTCCGTTCCCTGGACACGGTCCTGAGGGCCAGTTCCTTGATCTTCGATTCCCACGGGTGCCTGGCCCGCCGGCTGGTCTGGGTGGAAGCACCCTGACACCACACCCTTGGGCAAGAGAAGCGACGAAAACGCCCTCGGCCTAGGAGCGGGTTTTGGTAAAAGCCACTGAGATCCTTGGGCGCCCGTCGGTAAGTAACCTCCGAGGTCTACAGCCTGGAGTTTTCAGCGAGACAGGGGAAATGGACCCTTGGCAATACCCGGCTGCCCTGCACATCCCAGCGTTGGTCCTGAGCTCGTCTTGCCGCGCCCTCACCCTGGGCGTGTCCCGTAATTTAATTCCGCTTCGGTTTTACCTGTTGAGCCACTTTGTGAAGAGGGGATTCGGCTTCCCACCGTGACGGCTCGGCTTGGGAACAGAAGCCTGGACCCAGCGGAGGCCACGCCCACGCCCCAGGGCCGCCCAGGCAGGCGGGTGAGGGGCAGCGTCTCCCGAGCCCCGGTGGGAAGACCGCGGTCCGGGCGCCGGAGCCCCCTGGCGGGCCTATTCAGTGGGTGGAGGGGCTGGGCCAGGCGCCAAGCCCGGTGAGACGAGGCTTTCAACCAAGTCTCAACCTCCTGGGAGGCCTAAGAGAAGTGATTCACCCAAGGTCCACGGACAGAACCTGACCTTGCTCTTGCCACCCACTATACCACTTTCTCAGAGGCAGTCAATCAACACTTAAGCACCATCAAGAGTCTCCAAAAGAAACACTAAGTGTATAAATCAGTAAACGGGACAATAAAAATCATTTAAAAATAATTTTAAAATAGAACAGCATAGAGATAGAAACTATTTATATTATTTCCAATGCCTATTGTGCCCCAACAAGGTTCACGCAAGGGCTGTCCTCCCAACAGTTTCCTGAATTCTGTGTTTTCACCATTAAATTCCACGATAAAGTTGGAAATCCATTCACCATTTGTAAATACATATTGATGTATTTAATAAAACTGCATGGACTATATCTTTTTCATTCCTGAATCCCAGTATTAAGTACAGTGCCTACCATGGGCCAGGTTCTCAATACTCGAATGACACAAAAATAGCCGAGACCAGCAAGTTTTTTCTGGGTGGGCTTGACAGAATTTCTGTACTTGCTGGGGTCACCATGAAATCCATGGTCTTCAGCTTTGCATTTTCAGCAACGCAGCTTTATCACGTTATCCTTTATCCTCAGGTGAGTAGTGAGACCCTTGGGAGCTGATTCATGGCAGGGTGGCTTTGTAACGTGTCACCTTGACTAGGCTACGTTTCCCAGTACTCCCTTCCCCGTACGCTTCCGGTTAGGATGGGCCACAAGAGACATTTTGCGTGATATCTGGAGGGCAGAAGTGAAGCAGCAGCACACTCGGAAGGTTGGTGCAGGGGCACCAGGCACTGTTGCAGTTCACACATGTCATTTATCTGCTGGCTCACCTCGTTGGTATGGGGCAGCAGTCAGGCCTGCAGCCAGGCCTGCAGCTGCTCCACCTTCCCCAGGATCTTCCTTCAGCTTCTCTAATTCCTGGCCCAGATGCATATTTAACTCTGTGATGAAGGGCACCAGCTTCTTCTGCAGGAAACCCACATCATCGAAGTTGGAGGTGGTGAGAGGCTGACATGGGTTCCAGGCCATCCGCGTGGTTTGCAGCTCGTGCTCGTGGGCGCCAGTGTCTCCTCGGTCTCCCACTCTTTACATCCATCTTCCCTTCCCGATTGCCTGCCCTGCAGACTTCAAGCTCCAGCATTAGATGTAAAAACAACAGCCTTACAGAGACTGTTCAACCAGCTCCCACAACTGCATAAGGTCAAATCCCTACAATAAATCTTTTAATATACATATTTATATGTACATATACACATAAAATCTTTATATTAGTGGTGCTGCTTTTCTGACTGTATCCTCATACACACAATAACCAAACTCTTATCTCATGAATCAGAATGCTATTCAAATAAATTTCACTTAGGACATCACTGTCAAAATACCACTAGAATACTAGGGTTGAGTGGTTGGATCCTTGTTGGGGGGGAGCAAAACAGTATCAATAAAATTATCCAGTCTTGCCTCTGGCTGAAGTAGGCAGGGTGACGCAACGGAAGGAGAAGAGGAGGGTGGCAGAGGGCTATATAATGAGTTAAACTAGAGAAAAGTTTAATCTACATCTGAATTATCTAAAGCTGCAGAGCTGGGATTAGAGTAAGGCAAGCAAAGCACATAGGCTACAAAATTTAAGGAGGGAGGCATGCACTCAGTCCTGCCACTGTAAAGCTAACTAAGTAATGAAGCACAGGTCTAATTTTCTTGGCACTTTATGCAGAGTTGGAAAGTGAGGCAGGGCTGAGCCAAGACTGGCCCTTAGGCAGGACGTGAAGCAGGAACTCGGACTCCTAGTAGATAGGGGCTGAGAGCAGAAACCAAGCACAAAGGTCACCAAGGGACAGGGGATTCGAGTTGTGAGGAATGATGAACCAGGCCAGGAGCTTTACTTCTGAAGGCTGCTTTGGCTGAGGACGGGGAGTGACGGTAACAAGCAGCGCCAATGGGGAAAGATGCCCTTTGGGTTAGAGGGATCCTATGCAGCACCCAAGGCCTGGGAAGAACCCAGTCTCAGGAGTTGCGGGTGCTCTGATAAGGTGGCACCATCCACAATGGCTTGGTGCTCCCTAAACCACCCTAAGGGCAGCAGTGTTAAGGGATTTGTTATAAAGCTTAGAGTAATCCACCTTGTTTTCAAGGTCACTGGAAACTTGCGTTAATATAACATTATTACACACTATTAGATATAGGTTATAGTTAACAGTTTAGTGGCTTAACTTAGGACAAGGCTTTTACAACCTGGGTCTGATTCTAGGCTCTATCAATATTAGCTGTTCGACACTGGACAAGTTATGTAGTTTCTCTGCATCTCAGTTTTCCTGTCTGCAAAAATGGGCAAAACCAATGCCTTTCTAGAAAGATGTTTCTGAGGACTAAACTAGGTCCATGGGAGGAACTCACCAAATAGCAGTTCCTTTCCTCATTTATTCACATTACATTCCCAACTGCTGTCTCCCTGAGGAAATGTTTAGAGTCATGGCCAGGTCTCATCCAAATGTATTTAAAATTATTTATGATGATGGCTTGTTTAGGCTGAAGGTGGCTTTAATTACATCCCATCCCAACTCCCCCATCCTTAATATCCACACTTCTCAGGCTCTTGGGATTTGCACCGGTTGGAGCAGGTGCACCAACTTTCTACTCTTTTCCTTCCTTTTCTGCTTACTTCCTCTATAAGCTCAAAGTACTGAACAGGCCTGCTCCTCTGGTTTGGTGGTAGGTTTTCCCAGTTCCTACTGACTCCCACACAAGCCCTGGCAATCCATCTATGGTCCAGCCTCTGAGCAGATCAGTGTTGTCTCTCATAAAGTCGGTCTGTAAATATCACCTTGAGTCCTACAGTCTGCAGAAGCCTCCAGTCTACTGCTTTCTAGCTCCAGGTTTTTTAAGGTCCTTGGACCTAGAGAAGAGGGAGCAGGTCTGTATGTTGAATGAGGTTCCCTATGTGCAAAATGGAGCATCACAAACCATTCCCTACTCTTCCATTTCCCCTTAATTTTCCCTTCTCTCTTCTAAAATCTTCCATTACAGACAATGTAGCACATCAAGCACATCATTACCTTCTCCGGTAATATGTAATGACTTCATGCATAGGGGAAATAAGTCTCCCCAGTTGGATTATAAGCTCCCTGACGGCAGAAATCCTGTATCTTCTGAAGGATAAGCCTTCCAGGGTCATTGATTCACCACTGTATGCCACACTGCAGTGTACCCAGAAGGGCCGCAATCAGTACCTCAGTACTTGCCCAGGTGCAGGTGGAGAAGTCTCTGGCCTGCAGACACTAGTTTGCAGGAACAAAGGAATCCAGGAGTTTAGGCCAACAGGTTTATGTTGCCTGTGTCTGGGGCTCTGTTCAGGGCTGTCAGCAGTTCTGCAGGAGGCAGCATCCCCCTGTCCCCCTCCCACCGTCCCAGTCCTTACAGGCACCTATCCTGCCTTCTACTGCCACGCCTGCGGGGACAGTCCTGTGCAGCAGCTAAAACAGTAAATGACCTCAACGGGCTCTGGAAAAGCTGAAGAAACACAGCCTAATCCCTTCCACAGAGGATACTTCAGTTGTATGTGGATCCAGATCACAAAGCCATCTTAGGACCCAGGTCTCCTGCCCACCCACACTGCCCAGCCCACCCATTCATCTTTTGGAGACTCCACAGGCCTTCAAGACCCCGAGTGATAATTCTCTGAATAAGAATTTATATATTAAGCCTGACCTCTGTGGATTTTCTTAGGGATATGGGGACAAGGCTTTCCTTTTCTTTTTCTTTCAAATCTCATCACAGGTCACCAAATCCTCTCCCCCCATCACCTCCCGTAACCCTCCTCAAGAACAGCCCTGACCTGGACCTCAGGAGAAATCTCTAAGGTCCTGTACAAACCCCGTCACTGACTGTGACAAGAGCAGTGGTGTGGGGCCTTTACCTCCCACAACACCATGCCAAAACGCTGAGTGTACTTTTAAGACTCAGGGCCCACATCTGACAGGCACCCCACCCAATCCCATCCCCACCCCTCCCTGTGGAGGGCACACCTTGGCAACCAGACTGCTGTGTCCCGGAGGCGGGTTCCACCCAGGCTGAAAATCTCCGTGATCTGGGGAAGAATTAACACCAGGGTCAACATGGCTGGTGGGGCTAAAGCAGGGTCAGGAGAGTGAGGTGTCCCCCAGCACTGACCACGGGCGTGCCAGCCCCTCCTGCCTCCTCCTCTGGGGCCAAGTCAGCGGTGGGGTCATCCTTGTTCTCCTCCTCCTTGTCCTCCTCCGGGTCAGGTGGCTCTTGCTTCACAGGTGGCAGGCCTGGGTCTACTGCCTGGGGGAGGTGGAAAACGGGCAGTTGTCAGAAGGGTAGGGCTGGCCTGAGGAAAGTGTCTCTATCAGCCAACATGTCACTGTGCTGACAATCCCACTTCTGTCACACTTGAGCACAGAAAAACCATCTCTCTGCCTACAAACCTTTCCCATTCCTCACAGATTTCCATTCTTCTGTTAGCTGGGCAGCAAAGCAGGCAAAACTAGTTGCCTGGGGAGGGTGGGGCATCTGTCAGACAGGCGGGATGATTCTGTGAGAGGCTGTCATCAGCACACTATTACTTTGCTCAAAGAACCACCATCATGGCTCACCATCACTCTGCTCACAGACCACCCATCACTGACCCCCACCTTGCTGGGGCAGCCAGGCAGCAATACAGGAGAAGTCAGGATGGCTGTGCCCGGTGTCCAGTCTTCCTGGGCATCCGCCTTCTCTTGCTTCACCTGGGGTAAGGCCACGACCCAACTCAGGCCAGGGCACTGGGCCTCCTGCGTGAAGGAGGATGGCAGCAGACTTGGTCCCAGCTTCCCCACACGAGGCTGGGTGGGGTCGGGAAGGGCAGGATAAGGTGGGACCCTCACCTGTAACAGAGCCGCTGTGGAGGCTGGAGCTGGGCCAGGCACCTGCACGGGACTGCTTGCACCCTCCCGTAAGAACACGAGGTCGGTGCCAGGCGGGGGCAGCACAAAGCCACTGCCTGCTTCCTGCTTCACTGGAGTCTGGGCACGGTCTGGCTGGGCCATGGGCATGGCCAAGGGAGGCTTCGGGGTCTGACCCAGACGGGGCCTTCGAGCAGAGCCAGGCCTCTTTCGACGCGGGTAAGGTGCGGGTGGCCCGGCGCCATCCTCGGAACCTGCCCAGACACTTGGCAGCAGCCGCTTCTGTGAGGAGAGATGGGGTGTTATGGCCACTGGGTACGATGGCCAACCACACTACCCTGCCCCGATCAATGTGCCTGTGACTCCGCTTCCCCCGCCCCCGTTAATCCCAGCACAGAGTCTCCTCAGGTATGAGCCCCTCGTCACCGAGCCTGCTAGTCTCCTGTTGGCAATGCCAGTGCCACCCAGATTCTTCATTTATCTCAGCACAACGTCAGCTAATTGCTGGCAGAACCCCTTGCCCCACCCACCGCTCCGAAGCTGCAGGACCCATCTGGCCGGTCCCCACCCACCTACCAGGCCGGCCCATCCCTCTCAGGCACCAGGGGGCCTGGCACTGATCGCCCCACCCACCTGACCCATCCTGCTGCACCCACCATAGCAAACTGCAGGCACTGGCGCCAACGACACTTCTGGCGCTTCTGGTTGCTGCCCCCGAATTTGGGCTTATCACAGCAGAAGTCGCAGTGGCCACAGTCCATCCGCCGCAGGCAGGCCGCACAGGCCCCACACTTGCGGTTCTGCCGACGGTTCGTGTAAGGCTGCTGGGGAGCAGAGGGACGGGGGACGCTGTCACTAGGACAGTTACAATGCTGCTCCTGTTACTCCTCCACTAGCCCCACTGGAGGGAACTGGCTGGACACTGGTCTTAGCCTGACTCCCCACTAGTCACACCTCAGTGTCTGCTAGTCGAGCACCAGGCAGTATCACTGTACCGGATGGCCCTTGATACCACGAGGACTGTGGCTGCTCCAGCACGGTATCATCGTTCTGTCTGCTAGTCCCCCACTAGCTACCAAGACAATGTCTTTGACCCCCATCTCCAGCAGGATTTTGCTGACACTCTTTTAGCTCCCATCACTGCACCTGCAACATCTGCTCATCCTGCGTGAACTTCAGTCACCATGCCAGCTGTTCCTCTATTAGTCCCACTAGAGTGCTGGTTCATCCGACATTAGGTACTGTCAATTCACCTGTTGATCCCATATTAGTGCCTACCCCACTGTCTGCTCATCCCACACTAGCACCCATCACTGTGCCTTACTATTCCCTTATTAGGCCCATGGCAGCATCTGCTTCTTTGGGGTTAACCAAGTGCCCTGGGAGAGTCTAGGCTTGTCCAGGTAGGGTGAGGCCACTCACTAGCTCGTCCTCGTCTACACAGTAATAGATGAATTCAGCAGGTGGCGAGGGGGCCAGGGCTCTGGGGTGCTGCAGAGGCAAATGGGGTGGGGTCAGGGCAGGTAGTGGGTGAGGTTACGGTTGTGCCTTCCCCCTGCCCACCAGGGCCTCACCAGCTCTGGAGACTCTGGAGGCTGCGAGGGCGGAAGTGCAGGCAGTGGCTGGGTTCGGGGGGGGCGCCGCCGGGGAGCCACCTTGGAGTCGCAGCCTCCCCTGCGGCGGCCGTGTTTACCCTGAGAGAAAGCCAGAAGGACAGTTTAGGCTTGGTGGTACCAGGTAGACACAGGACCACCTGCTTCCCCCGAGGTGTGCAGAAAGCATGCATGTGGGACAGGCAGGCAGAGGGTGGGCCGGGGCACTCACAGCAGGGGGAGCCACAGCTAGGGGAGGGCGTCGTTGACATCGCTGATGGTGGCGGCGGAGGCGGTGTGCAAGGTGCTGGCAGACAGGGGCAGGCGGGGCCGAGGAGGTGAGCACGGGACGGAGGAGAAAAGAAGACATGAGGTGGGCAAGGCCAGGTTGGGAGGAAGCAGCGGCAGCTGTAACAGTACAGTGAGCTCTGCCACGGCCCACCAGCGCCGGCCCCTCCAGCCTGACTCACCCGCAGGCAACGCCGCTGGACGCACCTCCACTGGCGCCTGAGACCAGGGCGGGGAGGGCGAAGGCAGACTCGACAACGGCCACAGTCCTCTCGGGTCTGACAGCCCCGGCACACTCCACACCCTCGGCTCTGTGGGGGGCCGGAGGTGTGACGCATGGGGCCAGGGCTATGAGGGTCAGGAGTGCAGGTGAGCCTCGGGCCCACCCCACCTGCCCGACTCACCCTTTCCACAATCCGGAGGCACCGTCTTCGCTCACACTTGCAGAACAGCCCCGAGGCCACATCATGGGGCAACTGCAGAAGGCAGGTGGAGCAGGCCCCACAGTCTTCTGTTACCTGGCAGGCCGCACACTCCCCGCAGCCCACACGCTGCCAGGAATGGGCGGGGCAAGGTCACAGGTCCAGGCAAAGTGGCTCCAGGAGCACTGCCCCTCGTGTGTCTACTGACCCCACACTGGCCCCCATCATCATGTCTGCTCGTCCCCCATTTGTCTCATCACTCACTGTCTGATGACTACTGATTAGCCACCATCATTGAGGCCATAACGATGTCTACTGTTCCCCTGTGAACCTCGTCACTGTGTCTACTGATTAACTCCCATTACTGTCAGCTGACTGTAGCTAGCTCCCTACAAAATGACTCTGACACCCTATGGATCCATCACTGTTCCTTCGAACTCTCACCAGCCCCTATCACATCCTGCTCCCACCGCACACTTGTGAGGAGGAAGCAGGTCGTGCTTACCTTAAACATCCTCTGCTCCCGGTTGAAAGCAATTCTCTGTGCTGCAGGGAGGAAGAGAGTAGAAGAGAAATGTAAAGAGAGCATCAGATACCTGACCTCATGACTGCCTCCATCCTGACATCTACCATTCAATCTCCAGCCAGACACCTGTGTCCTAGCCTGACGCCAAGCCTGCTCCGGCTCTACCTCCCAGTGCCCCAGGGGCCACTCACCTCGGCAGTCCTTGCACAGAGTCTTGAGCCGCTGCCGTCGGGTTCCATCCCCTGAAAAGCTGATTCCACAGTTCTCACAGCACCTGGGACGGGAAACATGGGCGTGGGGCCGAGTGCACCCCCAACCACAGCCCTCGTGGACCTGGCTTACTTGAGGCTGACACTCACCCAGGCGCAGGAAGTGAGGCTGGGACTGTGCCAGCATCAGCCTTGGTCTCATCCCTTGGGGCCTCCTTCCTGACTTCGCTCTTCGAAGGTCCAACCTGACGTTTCTGAGCCTTGGCTGGCTTCGAAGGCTTCTTCCGCTTCCTGCTGGGGATGGCCAAGGAATGGGCCTGGAGATAAGAGCAAGGGCAGGAAGATGTAAGTCAGCGGGTGGGTGTTAGGTGGCTCAGCCACTCCTGCCTGGGTATCCCACACTGTACAGTACCTTGGGGGCTGGATAGCACAGGATGCCTTGTTTGAAGTCAAAGAGGGTGAGATCGCACGCAGGGCCCAGGTATCGGGTCAGCTCAACTTTGCTTCGGATCCTGTCTCCTGTGGGGCTGGGGGTGGGCCAGGACGGGTTGGTACCTAGGTGGAACCACTGCCACTCCACCCCCACAACCCTCCCACTGGGCTGGTGAATAGGCCTGCAGAGCTGGTGGGATACAGGAGGCAGACTGGGATCAGCCTACGAGCCCCGACCAAGTAACTACCCCAAATAATCCTGAACAGCAGGAAGATAAAAGGTGTATAAATACCAGCAAGTATACAAACAGTAATAAGTAATATAAATGTAAACAGATGTGCATGTATTTATAATGTGTACTACTAGTGGTATTCTATGTAAGTGAAAATAAACACAAATAGGAGCACAAATACATTGAATAATATAACTGTGTTAGCATTACATACTAAATACATAGACAAAGAAAACTTATATAAGACACAAACAAATGTTTTAAATATAGCTGGCCCTTGAACAACACAGGTTTAAACTGTGCAGGTCCACTTATACATAGATTATTTTCAAGAAATATACTGGAAAATTTTTTGGAGATTTGTGACTATTTAAAAAAACTCAATGAACCACGTAGCCTAGAAATATTGAAAAAATTAAGAAAAAGTTAGGTGTGTCATGAATGCATAAAATATATGTAGTACTAGTCTATTTCATCTTTTACCACCGTAAAATATACATAAATCTATTATAAAAGTTTAAACATCGAAACTTATTTATCACACACTTAAAGACTGTATGTGGTACCATTCGCAGTCAAGAGAAATGTAAACAAACATAAAGATGCAGTATTATACCATAACTGCATAAAATTAACTCTAGTACATATTGTACTACTATAATCATCTAACAGCCACCTCCTGTTGCTACTGCAGTGAGCTCAAGTGTTGTATCTGCTTAAAATGTCATGGAAGGCTAATCATCTCCGAGTGAGCAGACTGTTTCTCCAGTAAACTGCACATCACAGTAGAAAGTGACCCCTTGCAGTGGTTCATGTCATTTTCATCGCGTTTAGCGCAATACCGTAAACCCTGAATAACATCATGGGACCCATAACAAAGTGTAACTAGTGATGCTGGAAGTGCTCCCAAGAAGCAGAAAAAAGTCATGACATTACAAGAAAAAGCAGAATTGCTTGACATGTACCATAGACTGAGATCTGCAGGTGGTTGCCCTCCAATTCAAGATTAATGAATCCAGTTGTAAGGACTATTGTAAAAAAAAAAAAAAAAAAAAAAAGGAAATTCATGAATCTATCGCTGCAGCTACACCAGCAGCTCGAAAACCTTGTATTTTTTGCAAAACACCTTTTTATCTCGCACTGAAAATGCAGCTCTTATGTGGATGCAGGATTGCTATAAGAAAGGCATACCTATAAATTCCAATATAATTCAAGAAAAAATGAAGTCACTGTAATGACAGCTTAAAGCAAAAGGAAGGTGAAGTCTCTAAAGCCAGAGAATCTAATGCCAGCAAAGGATGGTCTGATAATTGTAGAAAGAGGTTTGGCTTTGAAAGTGTCAAGATAACAGGAGAAGCAGGTTCTGCCAACCAAGGGGCAGCAGACAAGTTCCCAGAGCCATTAAGAAAATCATTGAGGAGAAAGGATACCTGCCTGAACAAGTTTTTAATGCAGATCAAAGTGCCCTATTCTGCAAAAAAAATGCCAGAAACGACATATATTAGTAAGAAAGAGAAGTGAGCAACACGATTTAAAGCTGGAAGGGACAGGCTAACCCTACTGCTTTGTGCAAATGCAGTCAGGTTTATGATCAGTACTGCCCTTATCTATAAAGTTGCTAACCCTAGAGCCCTGAAGGGAAAAGACAGACCCCAGCTGCCAGTCTTTTGGTTGTACAAGAAGACCTGGACAGCGAGAACCCTTTTTTTTATTGGTTCCATTGATGCTCTGTCCCTGAAGTCAGGAAGTACCCTGCCAGTAAGGGACAGCCTTTAAAGTTCTTTTGATATTGGACCACACCCCTGCCCACCCAGAACCCCATGAATTCAACACCAAAGGTGTCGAAGTGGTCCACCTGCCCCCAAACACAATGTCTCTAATTCAGCCTCTAGATCAGGGGGTCATAAGGACCTTTAAGGCTCATTATACACAGTACTCTACAGAAAAGACTGTCAACACTATGGAAGAGAGCCTTCATAGACAGAACATCATGAAAGTCTGGAAAAATTACACCACTGAAGACGCCATCGTTATAGAAAAGGCTGTGAAAGTCACCAAGCCCAAAACAATAACTGCTGCTGGAGAAAACTGTGTCCAGATGTTGTGCATGAATTCCCAGAATTTACGACCAAGTCAATCAAGGATATCATGAAAGAGATTGTGGATACGGCAAAAAGGGGGGAGCGGATGAAGGGTTTCAAGACATGGATCTTGGATTCAAGAGCTATCAGACACCACACCAGAGGAATTAACACAAGACGACTTGATGGAGATGAACGCTGCCGAACCAGTGCCAGATGATGAGGAAGAAGACGAAGAAAAAGGAGTGCCAGAAAAAAACTGACATTAGACAATCTAGCAGAAGGGTTCCGATATTCAAGAATACTTTGACTTATTTTACAACACGGACCATTCTATGATATGGACACAAACTAAAGCAAACAGTGGAAGAAAGATTGGTACTGTGTAGAAACATTTTTGGAAAAGTGAAAAAGCAAAAAGGTCAAACAGAAATTACCATGTACTTCTGTAAAGTTACACCGAGTGTTCTGGCCCTCCTGCCTTCCCTTCCACCTCCTCTCCTTCTGCCTCTGCCGCCCTCCTCAGCAAGACCAAACCCCTCCTCTTTCTCTTCCTCCTCAGCCTAATCAACGTGAAGACAACAAAGATGAAGACCTTTATGATGATCCACTTCCACTTAACGAACAGTAAATAATCATCAGGCTGTACAGTTAATACTTACCTATCATGTTTGTGCGTGGGTATCTTTGTGTGAAAACCTAACAACTGTACGGCAAGAACTGTATGAGACGTTTCATCACCCAAGTATTCATCTGTGCGAGACTTGAAGTGGATTGCCTATACTTACACAGGCATAAGGTGAGAGATATTTAATATAAACTTAACATGTTAGTTTTCTTACTGTTTTATAACTTTGCTTTCAAAGAATTACATTACCATATGGTATGCCTCTCTCTCTGGCAATCAGGGAAACTGCCTATCGTCACAGGTAAGTGGTTTTTAAAAATGTAACAATGTTCCCAATACTGTATTATGAATATGATTATAATACTGTATGCCATAAAAATTTTACAATTCATTCATTAGTGTACAGGTGAGGCTACCATGAAGCAATCCATGAAGCAATCGTATCAATTATAGTACCCTATCATAAAGCAATCATATTGCTCCTTCTTAGTTATCAATGCATGAATTGTTATACCTGTAAATAAACATAAAGTTTTCAATTATCTTTTCATTTTTGATGTCTGGTATTAGTAATATGTATAATATCTACAATGTTTTGTATCATATAAGACAATATTGATGTAGGTACTGACATACAAGCAATTCATCTTGTAAACAGATGATGTAAACTTATGGTATTGATAAATACAGTACAGTACTGTAAATGAACTTTTTCTTCCTTATGATTTTCTTTTCTTTTGGCTGCACCACACGGCTTGCAGGATCTCAGTTCCCCGACCAGGGATTGAACCCGGGCCACAGCAGTGGAAGCCCAGAATCCTAACCACTAGGCCACCAGGGAACTCCCTTATGATTTTCTTAATCTCTTCTCTAGCTTATTTTACTGTAAGAATACAGTATATAATATATACAACATACAAAATACGTGTTAACTATTTATGTTATCGGTAAGGCTTCCAGTCAACAGTAGGCTATTAGTAGTTAATTTTTTTGTGTTTTTTTTTTTGCCGCGCCACATGGCACTCAGGATCTTAGTTCCCCCACCAGGGATTGAACCCATGCCCCTGCAGTGGAAGTGCACAGTCTTAACCACTGGACCACCAGGGAAGTCCCCAGTAGTTAACTTTTTAAGGAATCAAAAGTTATATGTGGATTTTCGACTGCACAGGGGATTGGCATCCCTAATCCCTACATTGTTCAAGGGTCAACTGTACACATATAAGTAAGTGTACATATAGATATACATACAAATACATATGTAAACAAATAAATGCAACTACATACAAAACAAAGTATAAGTAACTGATGTTGGGAGACAATATTCCACAGGTCTCTCACATTTCTACATGTCTTTCAAGAGCAGCATTGACTATCCTTTGTTATGAACTATCTTTTCAAGGATATGTGTACAGCATCAGCCTTGGAAGATAAGAGATAGGGTGTCCTTCCAGAGCAAAGGGAAGGCATCCTTACTGTCCTAACATTATAAAAGACTGGATTCCTTAAGCTCAAGGTTCCTCTCCTACAACACAACCCAGTGCGTGTGTAGGTGCTAATTAATTACTCTCTTCATGTCACCCTGTGGGAACTGGCATTTGGTGAACTGGCACAATAACGATGACATACTGGATACTGCTAATGCTGTGAGTAATAAACTGTCTTTCATCTCTGAACCAGAAGCCTCATATCTCCTACTAGCATCCACAGAACCGCGACACATTCACTTGCTATCTTGCCTTAATTAGGGTAAAATCTCTGGCCTTTTCAGTTCTTGATCATTGCACTTATATTTATAAATTTTGAAAGTTTTATAAAAATTGTAAATATGTGGATAAACGTACAACTAATATAAACAAACATATAAACATTTAAAAAACACCGTATGTTTATTTATAAACATATAAATAAGTGTAATTGTAGGTACAATTTTACTATATTCCTCCAAGGAAACAACAACTTACATACAAAAAAAGTTTAAGAAATTTAATAACCGTATCACTAACATATTCTAAAAGACCTTAAATCCTTAAATGTAACTGGTTTATAAAAATGTATTTTCATGTATTTACAGTCAATTCTCATTATTCACAGTAATCTGTTCTATAAAGTCACCTTGAACACTGAATTAGTGAGTACAGAACCACTGCTCCTAATGGAACTACAGGTTAGGTTCCTGTAAGCCTCTGGTCACATTTTGTCAGCTGATCAGTATGTAACCTTGTTTTACGTGTGTTTCTGTTTAAAGACACCCTGCTTAATACAGTCCTCTTACAAATAATTAACTGCATGGTCTTTGAATGATTTAAAGCCAGGAGCTTTGGAAGCCATCTGTGTTATATAGGTTCCTTTGTCGATGTAAAACAAGCCAGTCTCATCAGCACTGAAAACCTACTCTTCTACATAACCCTTTTCCTGTATAACACTTTTCAGGTGTTTTTTAAATTCTTCCACAGTCTCTTATCTGCAGAACCTGCCTCACTTGCAAATTTAACACATTTCACGATGTATCACCTTCTGAAACGTGTAAGCCAGCCAGCACTAGTTGAGACAGGCTTAACATTTTCATAACCCTGGGTAACGTGACTGTCAATGTCCTTTGCTTTCAGCCTCACAACGCTGTCCACTACACTTTAATCATCATCTCATGGTTCCGCGAATTCAGCCACTTTAACACCTTTTCCTTAGCTTCATCAGATACTATAGATGTTACTTTAGCACTTTCTGGAGCAGCCTCGTGTACTAATTGGCAAATTTCCTCTTCTTTTTCTAGATATACTGCCTTTTTGATTTATCAACATTGAACTCACAGCCAACAGCACTGCAACTCATGCCTGAACAAAACTTATTTAATATGTATTTTCTGCATATTGCACATCCCCGACTTCTTGCACTTAGAACACTGGACAGCACTTCAACACTACACTTGGGGGCAACTACAAACAGCAAAATCACCATTAAAAAGTACAAAAATGCAAAAAACAGAACACTAAATAGACCTCAGAAAGGATACTTGTTTACAGTACAAGAGCTAAAATAAGAAAGCCTCGTGCAACCTCGGCTGGGAACACATGCATCAGGCGACTTATTTTTCGCTGCTCTGTGCATATCCACAAATGACCATGAAAGCACAGTGAGTATGACTTTGGGGGTACAAACAAATTTTAGTAAGCAAATTTGCAAATATGGAATCTGCAAATAATAAGGACCAACTGTATATGCATAATTTAACCCTACCCCCTGATTTCACCCTGCCTAACCAGGCTCAGCCCTAACCCCTGACTCTGTCCACAACCCACCCAGTACCTCTGGTAATAGGTGTCTGAGCGTCCACAGGTGGCACCTGACTTGCGAAAGACCTCACGGCGCTTCCAGCCAGGGCCCAGGGCCGGGCAGTCCAGCCAGTCCTCAGCCATGGGGCCACAAGAAGGAGCAGCGGCCTGCAACATGGAGGGGGCAGTGGGAGAAACTGAGGCTCTAGGGAGGAACATGTTGTGCCCCAGGCCGCACAAACCCACGGATCTATTAATGCTTGTTTAAGATCTAGGACCTGCCACAAGCAACTGGCCAATGTAAGGAAGAGAAAAACCCCCATCCCCACTCCATTCTTCCCTGTCCTGGGCCCAGGAGCTTGTCATTCCCCCCACTTCTTGACCGGGTAGCCCCATCCTCAACCTAAGGGTCTCCATCCTCAATGCATTCCTCACTCTCAGCGTCCTAATCCCCAATTCCCCCCCCCCCCCAGTCTCAGCTTGAGAGACCTCAGTCCTCCCATCCTCAGCGCAAGAGGCCCCCATACGACTCGTCCCCAGACCCAGGTCCCAACCCTCAGTATCCTAACCTCCCATTCATTCCCTTCCTTGACCCAGGAGTCACTAATCTCTCTCTTTCAGTCTTTTAACTCTTCCATTCCTTCCCTGTCTGCTGTCCTCTTATCCCGCTACCTCAGTATTATTGCCTCGACTTCCTCTGTGTCCTCTGCCACAGAGCCCCCAGCTCCTCCATATCGTTGACAATCTCGCCCACCTTATTTTCCCTCTGTCGGTGCTCTAAGCCACAATTTCTTCCCAAGCCCCCAAACCTCCCTATTCCCCTCTTCTGCAGCTAAAAAGTTCCCTTCAACGTCCTCATCCTCCCATCAGCTTTAGACATCCCTTCCGCGTTTGAACCCCCCCCACCCCATTCCCCTCCTCTTGGGCCAGGATCATGCCATCCCTAACTGTCAGCGCTCTGACCCCCTATTTTTCATCGTCCTCCATATGAGACCCCCGTGCCTCCCTTTCAGCATTCCAACGCATTTCTCCCCGTCATCAGCCTGAGAGCCCCTCATTTCTCCCCTTGAGCGTTCTGGACCCCCATTTCTCTCTCCTTAACCTGAGAGGCCCCGATATCTGCCCTCAGCGTTCGGATCCTCCCCTATTCCTCTCCGTCCTCGTCCAAGACCCCGACACTTCCACCTGTCAGTCTTCTGAGCCCATTCCTCCCCGTCCTTCCCCTAAATTCCCCCATTACTCCCCTTCAATATTCCGACGCCGCCATTCCTCCCACTCATCGGCCTGAGGGCCCTTCACTGCTCTCCGTCAGCGTTCTGAGCTTCAATTCTTCCCCATTCTCCGCCTGAGCGGTCTCCATTTCCACCCCCACGACTGTCTCACCAGCTCGGCTCCCGGCCGGTACCTTCCACCGCTCTAGGTCCGCTGACCCATGGCGAGGGTCCCGCCTGTGGCTCTCGCCTTGCCCAGCTCCTCTTCTTCCTCCTCCGCAACCGCTTCCTCAGAAGCTGTAGCTGTCGCCGTCGCCGTCG